ATAAAAATTGGAAACTTTTGCAAACTAAAATTATGTTGTGTGTTTAATTTTTTCAATAAAAACTTTGTTTTGAAAAATATTCAATTCAAATTCCCGATATATAAAATTAAATACTCTCGAGACTTACATGTATGTAAACATTCAGTGACTGTGGTTGCATCAATGAAGTAGCCTCCACATATTTTGCAAGTTATATGAGTGTTTAAAGTACGTAATCTTATTCTTCTTTCCATATTAATATTTCATATATGATTTCCCTCTTCTTCTTGAACAATTTGTTAAGCGCAGTTGCTCAGTTTAATTTTTTCAATCAAAAAGTGTTTTTGCCGCTAAAAAATTTCCTTCCCGCTTAAGTAAATCCATCAAATCTTCATAATATAATCTAATAAGTTTTTTTTCCAATATGACGTGCAGCGCTCAGCGCTATCTATTGTCAAGTATTGATATTCACACCTGGAGAATTTGTATCATAATCAATACCAACTATAAAATATATGTTTTGAGTATAATCAGTTTAATAATTTGGGCCATATTTTTTAACGCTTTCATATATAATACTGCGTTTTTACTTTACAATGTGTCCAAACTGAACACTAAAATAAAAAAAATTTTGACATTCTAAATCTTCTGTCAACAAATTATATACATGTTCTAATAATTTTATTTGCAACATGTTTATATTTGCGCGGTTTCGTGTCAAACCAAATGTATGTGTTAAACACATTTCATATTGATTTTTTTTCTTCAAATTTTATTTTACTGATCGTTTAGTGTATATGTATGTGTTTATCTACATATTCACTAAATGACCAACAAATTTAAGCTATAAATTAGACACGTACATATGTATTTTATTTGCATACATATCCATTTTAAAAAACAAAAGGGATTTCATACTTAAAAAGCTTTTAAAATATGTAAGTTTTACAATTTTAATGCCTTTATTACATTCACACTTATGTATGTGTACGTATTCTAACTTTTTATTAATATTTTCCCATATTTTTTAGTGAGGTATAAACGACCACAAAATAAATGCACACAAAGTAATTTATGTTTATGTAGCTGTCAATAAAAAAGCAAAGTATAATAAATTGTAAGAATCATAGAATCCAAGCACAAACATAGTCTGTTAGATTCAAATAAAATACATATGGATTGGTTTTATAATAATTATACTAAAAAAAAACAAGTAAAGTTTTCGAAAAAATTGGCAAAATAATATAAAAAATTAAAATTCCAAAATTAGAACGAAAGCACGAAAAAAATCTTCCTTAAATTACTCACATTTTGAAAGATATAAAAATTGGAAACTTTTGCAAACTAAAATTATGTTGTGTGTTTAATTTTTTCAATAAAAACTTTGTTTTGAAAAATATTCAATTCAAATTCCCGATATATAAAATTAAATACTCTCGAGACTTACATGTATGTAAACATTCAGTGACTGTGGTTGCATCAATGAAGTAGCCTCCACATATTTTGCAAGTTATATGAGTGTTTAAAGTACGTAATCTTATTCTTCTTTCCATATTAATATTTCATATATGATTTCCCTCTTCTTCTTGAACAATTTGTTAAGCGCAGTTGCTCAGTTTAATTTTTTCAATCAAAAAGTGTTTTTGCCGCTAAAAAATTTCCTTCCCGCTTAAGTAAATCCATCAAATCTTCATAATATAATCTAATAAGTTTTTTTTCCAATATGACGTGCAGCGCTCAGCGCTATCTATTGTCAAGTATTGATATTCACACCTGGAGAATTTGTATCATAATCAATACCAACTATAAAATATATGTTTTGAGTATAATCAGTTTAATAATTTGGGCCATATTTTTTAACGCTTTCATATATAATACTGCGTTTTTACTTTACAATGTGTCCAAACTGAACACTAAAATAAAAAAAATTTTGACATTCTAAATCTTCTGTCAACAAATTATATACATGTTCTAATAATTTTATTTGCAACATGTTTATATTTGCGCGGTTTCGTGTCAAACCAAATGTATGTGTTAAACACATTTCATATTGATTTTTTTTCTTCAAATTTTATTTTACTGATCGTTTAGTGTATATGTATGTGTTTATCTACATATTCACTAAATGACCAACAAATTTAAGCTATAAATTAGACACGTACATATGTATTTTATTTGCATACATATCCATTTTAAAAAACAAAAGGGATTTCATACTTAAAAAGCTTTTAAAATATGTAAGTTTTACAATTTTAATGCCTTTATTACATTCACACTTATGTATGTGTACGTATTCTAACTTTTTATTAATATTTTCCCATATTTTTTAGTGAGGTATAAACGACCACAAAATAAATGCACACAAAGTAATTTATGTTTATGTAGCTGTCAATAAAAAAGCAAAGTATAATAAATTGTAAGAATCATAGAATCCAAGCACAAACATAGTCTGTTAGATTCAAATAAAATACATATGGATTGGTTTTATAATAATTATACTAAAAAAAAACAAGTAAAGTTTTCGAAAAAATTGGCAAAATAATATAAAAAATTAAAATTCCAAAATTAGAACGAAAGCACGAAAAAAATCTTCCTTAAATTACTCACATTTTGAAAGATATAAAAATTGGAAACGTACTAACCCGTTTCATCATTCAAAAAATTTGCATTTTTATTTTTCAAAATGAAAACATTATTATTTGCAAATAAAAATTTTGTTTTTTTAAGCTTTATGTTTAATATTATAAAATATAAATTGTAAAACTAAACGAAATTAATGTAATTTTTTTTATTTTCAAGTGATTATTAAAAAACTTAATTTAAAATGCTACTATTGGTACAAAAATAATTGATTAAAACACGAGTATCTGAGGAATCACCCCACGAATGCTTTAACACCAGTTACGGACCACTTTGTACATTAAATTCATTAATATACATGAATATATCTTAAACTTATATTATTTTGCCTTAATATTCTGAGTTATACATTATATTGATCACTATATTTATTTTTAAAAACATTTTAAAAAACGCCGTCGGGTAACATATACAAATTTTAATGTATGATTTTTACCCAAAAGTTCTTCATTGCATAAAATATCAATCTAAAAAATAAATAATTATTTGAAATTTCACAAATATTTCAAAATATTAGGCAAAACAGAATATGTCAATTCTCAATTATATTAATTTTCAAAGAGCCCTTAAATTTATTTTAACTAAAATAAAACTTGACAATAAATTTAAATGCGTACATATATATATTCGCGATTTTCTGCACAAAGTGCTAATTTTAATTCACATACTTTCACGTTTTCAAGGTCTCAAATCATTGGTCATTGAGATTTGTTATGCCTATTTTGATATTGAAAAAGATTTATACCTCTCTATATTTTTCTATTCCATTTAAAACTTTTTTTTGCTAAAAATTTCTTTAAATGAGTGATAGTTGATTGAGAACTACACCTAGAAAACCTTCATTGCAAATTTTTTAAATTGTTACTACTACACTCTAAACAAACATTAACTAGCTCATCTAAACTATGATAGCCGGATTCAGCATGTGCTTCATTAACCTTGTCATCATCATCTTCATGATTCTGTAGTAAATCTTTTGGACAAGCTATATTACGACTTCTATAAAAATCTCTTTCCCTCTTCATTTCATCTAAAAAGAAATATTTCTTTTCAAAAAGTTCATATTAAAATGCAAAATATATCAACGCACTTTCTTGCAGATTCGGTACTAGTTTATATACTTAATACAAAAACTTATATATTGCAATGGATGTGACTGATGAATAACATTCTCGCATGTCGGACAAGTTTTCTTTTCTTCCAAGTGTTTTACTAAACAACTTTTGCAAACTAAAATTATGTTGTGTGTTTAATTTTTTCAATAAAAACTTTGTTTTGAAAAATATTCAATTCAAATTCCCGATATATAAAATTAAATACTCTCGAGACTTACATGTATGTAAACATTCAGTGACTGTGGTTGCATCAATGAAGTAGCCTCCACATATTTTGCAAGTTATATGAGTGTTTAAAGTACGTAATCTTATTCTTCTTTCCATATTAATATTTCATATATGATTTCCCTCTTCTTCTTGAACAATTTGTTAAGCGCAGTTGCTCAGTTTAATTTTTTCAATCAAAAAGTGTTTTTGCCGCTAAAAAATTTCCTTCCCGCTTCGGACGATTTGAATTAACCTTTTTTTCTCATAATATGAAGAAAGAAGTAAAGTATTCTGCGAAAAATTTTCTTGTAAATACGCATAGACTTTTCTATTTAAACTGCTGTTACATACATACATATGTATATGCGTACGTCATGGCGATGGCTGTCAACAGATAGATCTTTTTGTTTTGTTGTCCTTGCAATGCACATACATATGTATATGTATAATCGTTTTACCCGGTATTTCATCCATACAAAATATATGTATGTGCAAAATATTATTTTAAGTACATTTGTTATGTATGCACTTTTGAAGAATGATGATATTGAAGTGTAAGACAAACTGTTGCATATCTTTTTATTATTTCGTTATTTTAAATTGAGTGACCTTTACGTACTTAACGCTTGATTTGATAAATTTATGAACTTTATTTTTAAGGGATGAAGTAAAATGGTTAGCCATTTATAAAATTCCCTTTGAAGTATGTATATTGAAATATGTACATACCTATTTCGTTTGTAAATTATGAATTAAATTTATATTTTATATAAATTACATACCTACCTACGTATTTCCTTTAATTTTATTCTTGTAACCTATGAATGAAATATTTTGATTTAATGCAAACAGAAATTGGATAACAAATTGAGATTTTTCCATACCCTGCTAATTAGAAAAATGGAGTAATATTATATAAGGTTATCAAATCTTTTCATGTCAAAAATTTTTAATTTTTTTGTTTAATGAATCTATTTTGAAGTGCTAAATGAAATTAATATGTAGTAAAATAACTTGTTTTAGCCACATTTTTGACTGTGATTAAAACGAAAACAGTGATTCCGCTCTTTATATTGCTTTATTTTTTCTTGAGTGAAGCTTTATAACAATCCAAAATACAAAACCAAAAGCAATTTTTAAAATATAGGTTAAATAATAAAAATTTGATTAAGAGCTTATTTTACTGCAATTTAAATTCTACAATAAACCAAACTAATATTTTAAAAAAACTAATGTCCTCATACAATAATTAAATAGATTTTACAGCCAATCGTTTCATTTTTGGCGCTTTTTTCTTAGCTTGACGCTTCTGTTCTTTGAGCTCCCAACGTCGTTGTTTCTCCGGATCATCTTCAGCCATTACTCTTTCTTTTTCTTGTTTTCGTTTATCTTCGCGTCTTTCTCTTGCTGCCTCCACTCGAGCTGCATGAGTACTTTTCAAAAATTCTTCTTCAACACGTTGTCTATTTTTTTCAGCTTTGGTTTTGCTTTCTTTTGATAAGCGAAACCGCTTCAGTCTTTCCAATAAATAAAAAATTAACATTAGTAGTGGCTTTATAGATTCCATATCACAATTGTTGCTACTAACATTTGGTAAATTGAAACCTGCTAGCAACATTCTTTTTGTTTCTGGTTGTTTTAAGACGTTGGGATCTTCTTGCTGAATTGGTCCGCTGAATTGATCTGATATATGAATATAATCGATATAGTTAGTAAACTTACTAAGAGCACCGGAAAATCTTGTATCACTTAATAGTGAAACGGTCGCTTCTGGAATTTCCGATAAAACTACAAAACCATTTGGCATCCTATATTTTTCTTCTGGCTTACTTACTAAGGTACAAAATTTGCTCAAATCATTTAATTCTTTAAACATTTTTGTTCCACTTTTTTTACTAGCAATACAAAAAATAAATGTATCCATTACATCCTTTGATAATTCAATTTTGATATGAACTTGGTCTTGTTGGGGTCTTAATATACCAGAAACTAAAGATACCAAATCTTGTCTCTTTATCATTTTCAGTTCGACTAGCATTCCCTCACAACAAGTTCTGCCAGAACACCAAAGTGTATATAAACTTTCGCTTTCTTTATTTAAACCAGGGTTTTCGTTTTCCAATCTACCGCTGTCACCAACTAATACAAAATTTTCTTCCAATAATTGTCTGTGAGTATTTAACCAAAGATGGGCTAATTTTGAATTTTTGTTTTTCCCAAGGAAAAAATTAGCAAAATATGTTGTTAAACCAGCAATCATCAGCATTTCCATCCAATATGAATCCCAATGAGTTCTAAAGTGAATTGGAACTTTCGATATTGTTAGCTTAGGTTCTCCATCTAAGCCTATTTTTTGGTCTAAAGGTATTTCTTTCGAATCATCGTTGTCAAACCCTTCAAATTCTTCTTCGTCATGAAAATGTTCAAATTCTTCATCTTCTACTAACCCATCATCGTCGTCAGCAGTCGGATCATCGAATTCACCACCTTTCTTGTTCACAGACTTTGAAACAGAAGGACTTTCAGTATCTCTTGCATTATTTTGATTTTGAATACTTTTAGCACCTTTTTCTAGCACTTCAGAATCTTGAACAACAAAATCATCATCAAAATCTTCAAATTCGGCAAAATCGTTATCATCAATGTGTTGGGTTAGACCATATGACATTACTAAAAATAGCACAAAAAAAACAAAAGTCGACCTCATTTTGTTGAACTAAAGGTATGCAAGATAAATTTATGTAATTAAAATTTTTTGATGAATTATACTATACGAAGTTTAAATTAATATCAAAACTTTATGATGTTAGATACATTTATTTTTTTTTATAAAATTATTACAATATTAGAAATTAAGAACGATAAAGTTGATAATAGATTAATAAATACTCTCTAAAAAAATGACAAATGATGTCAAATAAATGCCATATTTCCATAAAAAAAAAGTGTTGGCAAATTACGTTAAAAAAGAACATTTGACTGTTGTTTGTATTCAACGAAGTGCGAACGAAAAGAATTTTTTTTTTTTTCGTTCATTAAATTTTAAAAAATATTAAGAAAAGCAACAAAATTTAGAAAATAATGATGAATTTACATAAAGTAGAAGAAGTGTATACTCAAGAAATTTACGATATTTAAATTCCATTGTTTCATTTATTATTGTATTTATTGTATTGTTTCATTTATTGAATATTTCGTTAATAGGTGTTATTTTATATTAGCGTTACCTTGATATGACAAAAATAATGGCCCGAAAACTTGTAGGCAGAATTCTAGCTCAAAAGTTGGTATTTTTCGTACGAATGAAAACGGTGATTTTTAATTACAAACTTCTACAAAAAAAACTCCAAAATACGATTGAATAATAAAATCGGATTTTTAAACAACAAATATTATTTTTTCTTAAAAACTTATATGCATGTATGTAAAATTTAACCAATGTTTTTGACAGAATTGTCGAGTAGGTATACACTTCTGCCACTTCAGCTTTCTGTCTTCTGCCAAAAGTTAATTTTTTTTAGCTATTTTAGTTTTACATAATATGCGTTAAGCTGGATTCATTGGTTCGTCGCTATCGCGACGCCTTGATGTATTTTGTATGAAAATTTGGATTTTTGACATTCTTTTTGTTTTTAGAACAGCTTTTTTTCTCTCTCTCAAAAAGTTCAATCTACTTCAACTTTGTGCGCAGGTTTTTTTAAAACGTGAAATTTATATATACTGAACTATTACAATTACACATAATTCTTGTCAAAGAAGTAACAAATGTATTATGACAAAAAAAAACTATCAGTTTTGTTCAGACGAACTAATGAAGAGCAAAAATAGCTTGACTTTAAATAGTTCAGCTCAAAAACGTCGAACCAATGAATCCAGCTTTACTAAAATTAAACATTTGAATGGTTAAAAATACCACCCGAACATCCGGACAGAGAGAGGAAACGCACATTTAATTTTAATTTACATAGGGTATGAAGAAGTATAGAAATGCATTTTAAAAAGTTATCATGTAAGCTTGAATTTATTACAGATTTTTTAAAACCTGTTCACATTTCTTGTATAGTTGACGTTCGTCCTGTGAAGTAATAACGTTATATAACAGTATTTGATAACAGTATGAGATGCGTAGTAATGCAATATGAGTGTTAAATTGCGTTCATTTTTCCATTTTCTTGCTTCAAAATTTAAGACGAAAAATTTTTATACTCTTACCCAGCATTTACACATACAAGTTACTTGCATGCAAGTTTGTATAATATTAATTGTCAATTAGTTTTTCGAAATGTCAAATTACTTGCTATTATGACGTAGGCGTTTAGCAAGTTAATTTTTGAAAATATCTTTGAGAAGAAAACAACTAGCAATATATATAATTGTTTATAAATTTTAGAAACCATAAGTTTGCTAAGTTTAATTTTTTCAAAACAAAATTCAAAAATTTTAAATTAAAAAAAAAAAAAATCAAAACAACAAATTTTTTTTTGTGAATTTCTCAATATGTCAAATTACTTGCTCAAATTACTGGCAGCAAAATTTTCTTGCAAGTTGAACTGCAAGTAAACAAGCAAGTAGAAATATTTCAATGTGTTAGTAAAATTTTTGTATGTATTGCAACTTTCTTGCAAGTAACTTGTACGTGTAAATGCTGGGTTAGTTAGTCTTTACAAATCAAACAAAGTTTGATGATTTTATTTGATTGGACGAAAATTTGATGTGTAAACGTCCAATCAAGCAAAAACGAACGAGAAAAATAGAGTCTTTCCAATTTATTGTCAAACCATTTGAACAGAAATAAAAAATAAAATGGCGAGAGTAAACATTTATCGTTATGTGGGCTGTGATCAGCTGTTTATTGTGTTCAGCAGTTTAGTATGTACTTCAAAATTTATTTTTTTTATAGTTAACTAAAGTTCGTTGTCGTTGTTGTCAACGTAAGCAACTTTAAAGTAATTATCCGAAACTTAAATAAAATTTTCCTATTAAAAAAAATATATAGGCTTGCAAAATCAAAAGTCATTCAAAATTTAACATTACACATATTTCAGTTTCGTCAAAACATGCAGGTAAGATTGATGGTTATTGTATTTGTATGAATGGTATTTTTGTGGGAAGTGATCATTCGTCGCATATTTGATCAATTAAAGTTGGGTGTTTAAACAGAATTCCTCATCCATTTTCATGATCAACAAAAATACCATTCAAGCCGATTAATTTTAATGGGCTGAATGGTAATTTTGTGGGAAGTGACCGTCAGTCCAAAATATTGTTTTTTTTTGAGTACCTTTCTATATTTTTTTTAATAATCTTAAGCAAATGATTGATGGTTACCCATAAAAATACGTCACTGTCCATTAAAATTAAACGGTTTGAATGGCATTTTTGTGGGAAAATGTACTAAATATATTTTGGGTAATTGGGTAAAATGTACTTAATATATTTTGAGTTGGGATCCCTAATACAAAGCTTTTTTTTAGTTTCCGTAATTCTGTGAAAGAATACTCAAAAAACATATGACATTATTGATTTATATGTGTATAGAAGAAATTAAAAAAAATAGTACACCTGAAAAGCAAAAAAAATTCGCCCGCAATGCTGAAGTTCAAGTCACATAAACTTGATTTCTTCATTACTCACTTAACTCTTATTATTGTATTGTGCACTGGTGTTTTAGTAGTACTAACTTAAAGTTAACCAAGGAGTAAAGTAAATATTTCGCGTATAAAATTACAAAATTTTCTGTGTTCCTTGTTTAAACTAATTTAATTTAAAGAACAAAATCAAATATTAGTTTGTATTTTTTAAAAGGGTTTGAAAAATATTTTAATAAAAATAAAGCCAAATAAAGTGAAAATATTTTGAATCCGCCTATTTTCAGTATAGTGCAAAATAAAAAAGAACATACTTCATCATACTAAAATATATATTACATATTATGTATGTAGTGAATTGTTTTTGAAATAAAAAATACATATATTGGATTTTGTAAAGTTTTCTTAGTGTTTTTTACAAATATTGAAAAAATTTTTTGTGAAAATATTTTTGTTACATTTTAATTTGAATCTTCAAAAAACTGAAATATTTTTTTTGCTGAAGAATACAGTTCAATGTTGAAAAAAGAGAACTTTTTTTTAGATAATTTCAGATTTTGCGCAGCTCTACATTCTCCAACTGTATAAATAAAAAATTAAAAAAACGATTACTTTGCATCTCTTTAATTTTTCAATTTTGGTAAGAGAATTGGTTAAATTTAATGTCATACTTACTTATGTACATATGTGAATTCTAAACAGATATGTTCTATTTTATTTCGTGTTTTCATTAATGATTACAATTAGGTATATATTATAATTTACTTAATTTTTAAATCATAGAAAATGCATATATATATGTAAATATATACATATATGTAGATTTATTTAACACTTCCAAATTTTCAAAAATTACTTTTTGAACTAGATTTTTATAGCTTCAGCTTGTATTTTTACATACGCATGAAATAATAAATTTAGCTTCTCTTTTCTCATTTCTGCTTCTCTTTTTGTAAATTCTTGAAAATATGTAAACATTTTACTTTAATATAAATGCTCATAAATGGTAACCTTAATGGACGCGGTATGCGGCATGCGGTTTTTAAAAAAAAATTTCATTTAATGGCCATCAATTCCGTTGAATTCTTTAGGGGATTTGAATTTTCAAGCGTGCGGTGTTTGAATTAAACATTATTCTCATTGTTGTGTCCGTTTTTGGTAATTCAGTTCTAACTTAGTATTAATTATGTTCTATGTTGGACAATAAAACACTGCACGTGCTGCACGTACATTCGATAACCTCTGTTTTTGATAATTCAGTTCTAGCTTAGTACTAATTATGTCATATGTTGGAAAATAAAACACTGCACGTGCTGTCAAGAAATGAGTTTGATTATGTAGTACTTTTATTTGTACTTTGTTTTGTAAATACAACTGTATGTTAAAATTCTTAAGATATACGTGCAACAATCAAGTTTTGATCTTATATTTTAGGAAACTATTTTGTACTTAAAAAAATAATGTCGGATTTACGGGGTTTATTAGAATAAGTTTCTTTTAAATTTTGTCTTTTAAGTATACTTTAGTAAACAATTTAAATTTATATTTCAGTAAACTGAAAATAACAAAGTTCTTAAATTTGTGGTTCCATAACTTTTAAAATTTTGAAAAACATATTATGATAATCTTAGAACTTTCATAACAAAAAATTTTTTTTGGTTAATATCAAATTTGTAGTTTTTGCAGTTATTGTTTGAGTTATTTAAATTTTAAGTTAGAAATGCGAAAGCATATTGCATTATCAAACACACCCAACATTTCTCAGCAATAATATTTAATAAAATGTTCGGCGGCACAATTTCAGATGGGCCGCATTAGAAATGCGTAATTTTGAATATAGCACACCACACACCGCATACCGCATCCCTTTAGGTTAATACTCATTTCCGTTGTGTGAGTATTTTTGGAGAGAATCCAAAGTATTGAAACAAGCTTACTTTTTAAATTGAATTTTCGATATTGTAACAAAAGCTAAAATTATGTCATTCAATAAATCAGCTGTTTTTAATATGTACATATGTACATATATTGAATATTTTTTCAATAAATCAAAGTAGTTATATTTTTTTATGCAATTTCCAGCGAAATGTAAAAAAAATTAGTCTTCAATTGTTATTTTACCTTTAGCTTACATATTTGCATATTTTAAGATTTTAGTTATGATTATTATTTTATAAATTTATACTATTTGTTTATTTTTCCATGGATATTAGCGTTGGATTTTATAAGAGATGATAAACTTTTATCAAATTGCGACAATTATACCCAATTTACCGTTGTATATATGAGTACA